CGCCTTTGAGAAACTAACTCTCTTTTGTTTTCCGTAAATGCAATCTTGGCACAAACTTAATTTAACATGCTTTAGGTTTGGCAACTTACATTTGGATGCCAACAACTTCATTCCCTTCTCACTCATATGCCCGAGCCTCCGGTGCCACAATATTGTATCACGACCATGATCAATTATTGTTATAGTATCTCTCTGTATTGCAGTGGCATACAGTGTTCTCTTCTTGAAGCATCCTGCCACAATCAAATTTCCTTTGGTTATCTTCCACGATCCGTTACCGAATGTTGTTGTATATCCATCACTGTCAATCTGACCCATAGATATCAGATTTTTCTTGAAGCCAGGAACATGTCAGACATTTTGTAATTTTCGTAGCGTGCCTTGTGAAGTCTTTATATGAACTTCACATTTCTCAACAATGTCTAGAGGTTCGACGTCTGCTAGATAAACCTTCCCGAATTTTCCAACAATATAATTATGTAATAATTTTTTGCATGATGCAGAGTGAAAGGATGCACCTGAGTCCAAAATCTAAGATTGGACTAGACTGTATGTACAAAAAATTAGTGCATCACCGACTTGTTCAGCAATTACATTTGCTAAATTTTTTTCCTTCCTTCTTCTTCTTCTTCTTCTTTGGTTCTCTAAATTGACTACTGCAGTGACCCTTTTTATCGTTATTCCAACAAGTAATGTCCTTGCGATTTTTGAATTGCCCTCTTCTCCTTGACTTTGATCTACCACGACCATGAATTTGTCCTCTTTGGTTGCTTTTCCCCTGTTTTCGGTATTAAAAACAGATCCTGGGGATTCACTTGATTCTCTTCGGCGAATATCTTCGCTTAGAACCAAGTCTCTAATATCATTCAATTTGAGTTTGGTACTTCCCGATGAACTGCTAACTGCAGTTACCTTTGCAGACCAACTCTCTGGTAGGGATGATAGTAGAATCAATGCCCTGACTTTGTTATCAAATGTTATATTAACCGAACTCAACTGAGTTAATATTATATTAAACTCATTGATATGTTCCGTGATAAATTCACCTTCTTTCATCTTTAAGTTAAACAATCGACGCATCAAATAGACTTTATTTGAAGAAAATGGTTTCTCATACATATTTGATAACGCCTTCATCAGGCCTGTAGTAGTCTTCTCGTTAATGATGTTAAACGCCACATTTTTTGTTTGCGTCAAACGAATCACACCAAGATTTTTTGTTTGCGTCAAACGAGTCACACCAAGAGCTTGACGATCTAACAGATCTCATTCCTTTGGCCATATTCTCTAGTTTTACCTCCGTCAGAGGTAAGTGTAATTTTTTTTTGGTACAAATAATCCCTTATTTTATTTTCTAGAATCCAAAATCTTTGTCATTGAACTTGTCAATCTTAACCTTCCCTTCTTCTGATGCCATTTCACAAAAAAAAATTATGTGAATAATGCATGTGAATGGTAATAATGAATACTATTCCGTGTAAGAAAAAAATATCTCAACCGCATAGGTAGACAATAATCACTATTGATGAAGAGTGATATCACTATTAACGAATTGTACTTCACTATTGTGAATAATGTTAGTAATGATGATCAATAGTGTTGTACTATTCTTATGAATAGTACTTGCACCAATACCGTACTTTTCTACCAGAATTACACTGTATGTCCTCTGATACCGGTTTTTAAAAAGCGTGTCAGGCTAATAGAAAGAAAAATATATATAAAAGAGAAAAGCAATAAATTGCACAAGATAAAACAAGACAAAATTTACGTGGTTCGATAATTTTTACCTACTCCACGGTCACACAAAGAATAACTCTTTATTAATTGAAGAGAAAGAAGAAGTTGAGGGATGATTTACAATTGAGGAAGGGGATGCCTATTTATAGGCAGAGTGTCTGCTAAAAGAAAATTTTCAGTGAATGTGAATACGAAGAAGACGGCACTGCATATTGCTCGCCGAATTCTTCTTTCACATTTGCAGTCTGTCAGCTTTGACTTTTCCATGTTTTCTTTTTCTCTTTTTCTCTTTGTCTTCTTTTACAACTTTTGTCTTCTTTCTTTTATTTTACAGCTGGGTTTGTTCCTTTCAGGCTCGTCCTAGCCCGCGACTTTCTTAGGGTTGGGTTGGGCTGGCCATTTTAAAGCCCATTCAAATGGTAGGTTAACCTGTCCTAGCCCACCAAATTCAAAAATATGCGAGGCTTGGGCTGGTTGGGGCTGACCTGGACCGTTTTGACAGCTACTTATGGCTGACCTGATCATCACATATTTTAAGCGGTGGGAGTTCAAATTAACTTTAATATTTTTGACATGGAACCTAGATACATATGTGAATAGTTACAAAAAATTTAACAAATGTTAAACTATGAACCCAACATTTTAAAATTACTACGAATTAGTTATTAAGAGCCTTAAGATTGGACCCATCAAGTTTAAATCTTAGATTCGCTTTGGATTATTTTAATTAACAATTTTAGAGGATCATGTACCTTTCCATAGATATAAGTTGTTCTGACATAATTCCTACTTACAGCTACCAGAATCATTCCTATTTGATTATTTCTTTAGTATTTTTCAACATGACGAAGGTGGAGAAGATGCTCTGCAAATTTCACGTCCATTAGAAGCTATTTAACCCAATTTATATATTGGCCATAGCAGATATCTAGGGATACTATTGCTATTAAATATTTCAATACCAATTGACCAATATTGCAAGAATCGTGGTGGCCGGTAAGTTTTTTCTTTTTTCATATGAATCTTTCAGATATATTATGATGATGATTCAGAGGTTTTAATTTTGTAGGGTGAAGAACTTGGTGTTTGGACGGCCAAGCTCACATGCATTTCTTCTGAAATAAATTAGTGAATGGAGTAATTAGCTAGGTCTATAATTGGTTGACTTTTTCTGAGTGACCAAATACCTTTGACTTTTTAATTGATTTTCTGTTGTTCTTAATAAGTCATCTTCCCCATGCAAAGGAGTATAAATTTGGCATAGTTTCTTAGCTAATTAACACCCCAAATTTCTTTTGTTAAGTTGTCTATTCTCTTTTCCAATGGCTCTTTCTTTGTTAAGCCTAATCAACTTTCCTTTTTCTTTCTCCTTATTAATCTTTTTCATAATTGTGTTTTCCATTCTAATGAGACATTACAAAGGCTACAAACACATTACCAAAAAGAAACTTCCACCAGGAGAAATGGGGCTCCCATGGATTGGTGAAACCATAGAATTTTACAAAGCCCAAAAAAAGAACAAATTATTTGAAGAATTTGTTCAGCCCCGGATCGAAAAATATGGAAAGACATTCAAAACAAGACTAATGGGATCACCAACAGTAGTTGTATGTGGAGCAGAAGCTAATATGTTCTTTTTGTCTAATGAATTCAAATTGGTAATAAGTTCATGGCCTACTTCTTCAGTTGAGCTAATGGGCAAGAATTGTATTATGGAGAAACAAGGAGACGCGCATCGATGCCTTCGTGGGATTATATCTTCAAGTCTTGCCTCTTTTAGCCTAGATGCTATGGTTCCTAAAATTTGTAACACAATTCAATCTCACTTAGACAAGAATTGCAATGGCCAAGACCAGATCATAAAACTGTATCATCTGACCAAATCTTTGACGTTCAAGATTGTGTTTGAGTGCTTTTTGGGGATAGTAGTCAAACCAGGATTACTTGAAACGTTTGAGAGAGTATTGGAAGGTGCTTTTTCACCCCCATTTAAGTTTCCAGGATCTAAGTTTTCAAGGGCAAAAAATGCAAGATTGAAAATAGAGAAAATTCTTGTTGAGGTTATAAGGGAGAAGAGAAGAGAGATAGAATTAGGAGAGGAGAAAGAAGGGAAGTTAGACGAGGCATTACTTTCTCGGTTAGTGAAAGCGTTGATTCGTGGTGAGGTAAGTGAAGAAGAGGTTGTTGATAATGTTGTTTTGCTAGTGTTTGCTGCTCATGATACAACTTCTTTTGCCATTGCTATGACATTTAGGATGTTGGCTCATCATCCCACATGCTATTCTCTTCTCATTCAAGGTACGTTTATATATAGAAGCTAACTACAACATCTCAAACTTTTTTCAGTTTAGCTCTGTCTATTGAACTGATTAATATGAAAATTCGACTTTTGACAGAACATGCTAATATAATGAGTAACAAAGGACCAGATGAGATACTATCGTTGGAAGATACAAAAAGGATGAAATACACCTGGCAAGTTGCTCGAGAAAGCATGAGGCTGTTTCCTCCTATCTTTGGTTCTTTTAGAAAAGCAATTACTGACATTGAATTTGAAGGATTCACTATTCCAAAAGGTTGGAAGGTAAGATTTTATCACTACTCTTTGAGTCTTTAGATAGCTGAGGAGTGAAAGATTATTACTGTCAAATCCTTTTACATGTCCCGTTATATATTTTTTATGCTAATTTTTGTTGCTATGTGCAGGTATTGTGGACAACATATGGTACACATTATAGTCAAGAGTATTTTGAAGAGCCCCAAAATTTTGACCCAAGTAGATTTGAGGAGCCTGTTCAACCATATGCATTTGTACCATTTGGAGGAGGGCCAAGGTTGTGCGCAGGATACCAATTGGCAAAGCTAAATATTCTTATATTTGTTCATTGCGTTGTGACACGATATGATTGGTCCTTAATAAATCCTGACGAACCAATTGTCATGGATCCCCTTCCCTTCCCTTCCAAAGGAATGCCCATTAAAATTTCTCCCAAGTTCTAATGAAACATAACATTGTTATCACTGCAGCTCGTTTTGGCATATTGGTGCTGCTGAGTACTTGATTCATTATGTCCATCAGTGAATAATATTGAAACACCTGAGGATATTCAAATATTAACTAAGGGCATGTCATAATCGTTAGCCCAGTCATAATATACAATTCCATATGGCTTGAAATATTTGGAAATAAGTGACGTTGAAATCAACCAAAATAATGATGTTGCAATCAACCAAAATAATATACTCTTAGGAGAATGAACTCGTTGACAAATGCTTCTATCATTATCACCAAATAAATTTTTAGATTCAGGCACAAGCAGCATCGATTCAAGAGAAAATTATTCTAAGATTCAATCAAAGAAATGCTGAAATGATTGATATAGCCTTCTTATCAGATTCCAAACGCAAGAGGCAAACCCATGGAAATAACCCTGTATAATTATTAGTGGTAACAAAAAAAAGTCTGTTCATGGTTGGGTTGGGTGTTCTTTTTCTCTTTATGGGAAGAGGGCAAACAAATTTTTTCTCACTTTATCTAAAGAAATTCCCTAAAGTGGTTCGTCTTTCACACACTGCTGGCAATCAGGAAGAAGCGTATGATTGACTGGCTTCATCCCCTGGCTACTCCATCGGTTCACAAAAGCTACCTCAAGTACCCTGACCTGCAGACATTTTGCTCTTAGGATCAAAAGTGTCCAAGGAAACTAGGTCAAATTGCAAGATAAAACGAAAGGAGGGGAAGCACTTCATCCAAGTCGAGCTAAGTTATTATGATATCCAAACATTTCTTATCCCAAACTTCATGGATATTTACTTCTTAGATTCAGTCAGCAACCTAGGAACACAGCATCGCCTAATAAAACACATCGTAGCAAAAGAAGGTAGCAAGATGCCATTTCATTCGTTCCTTTCAGTATTCATACTTGATCAAGTTGATGAGAGACAACTCGAAAGTGAAGTGGTGATCACATAATTGTGCATTATAATTTTGAGCAGAGTAACCCATAAATAAAAATCTTTTGAGTAGAGTATGTTCTTAGGAAACCTCATAACAAATTGCTGCATAGGGATTAAGGCAGCAGCCACGCAAGTAACTTCTGGAAGTGACAATGACAGAAATAACGCAGGTGATGGGCCTAATTCTCATGAGCAGCTATCACAATGCAGTGGATGAGGCATCCAATGTACCTACTTCAACTGGTGGATGTATATCCAATAAGCTATTTGACAAGATGCTAAAACTGCGGTAAGCATCAGAGAGGTTGTCTTTACTTGAGAATGCTAAAAGTTCATTGTGACAAAAGTAACAAAAATATAGGTGACTTTTTCAAGTAGGGAGGGAATAGGATGTCGACCCTACAGTCACCACCAAAGATTAACTCCATGGACTTTGTCTAATAAAACAACCGCTGCTGATAAGCAATTCAGCTGAGAGAAGCCAGAAAGTCTGATCTATGTCTAACAAAACAACCGCTGCTGATAAGCAATTCAGCTCTGAGAAGCCAGAAAGTCTGATCTATGTCTAACAAAACAACCGCTGCTGATAAGCAATTCAGCTCTGAGAAGCCAGAAAGTCTGATGACCGATTGGGTAAGAGGAGCGCATACCAGGAAGTCTGATCACCAGATTAGTGCTCAGCTTATACATAAACCTCTCTACAATCAGTATCACAACAATAACACGGGAATTTGACTTCAAATATTGGACATATGCATTTAAAAGGTAAAAAGATCCCACAAACATTCAGGTTGGAGAAAAAAGATAAATTGATAGCTCAAGAGATTCACACTATTGGAAATTTGGTTCAACATAGGTGGATTAGATGAGGTGCATGCAAGCTGACCTGGGTTCCATCATTATTAAAAAAATGATTACCATAGCCTAGGTAAGTCATATTCAATTAATATGAAGTTATGAACCAAAATTATAATCAAGGTCATCAAACAAATCATTCTTCACGAAATCTAACCTGCTGTACAATTAATGGTTCCTCTGCACGACTTAGTGGCTCTGTTAAAATAGTAAGAAAACCATTTCTATTACCATAAACTATGTCTGTAAACGGCCTATCACCCACCTGCAAAGGACACAAAATAAACTGTCAACTGAGAAAGGACAGAGAAAAGCTTACAAAAAAACTGAAAGAACCAAGTTTACCATAATAAGCCTCGACGATTCACAACCGAATTGTTTTTCAATTTCTTCAGCTGTTCCAGCCGGCTTCTTCACCCCTAAAGTATACACATAACGGAAGCAGCAAATACAAATAGCATTAACTCAAAGATAGGCAAGTGATATTTGTTGCGGAAGCCAAATGTATATAGTGTGAATGAGTCACAACTACTATACCAAAAATT